CTGTAAGCTTGGATAGACTTCGCTTGTGTACTTTATTTAAGATTTTATATATTATTTAATAAAATACATATCTGCAATAAAAATTATAACAGAAGCGTGACCAAAATAGGAAATTGTGAATATTGCGAAATTACAAATCCCAAGTTGAATATTAGAAATAAAACGCGTATATCCTAAGGATAACAATGAACCTTTTGAAAACCTTTATTTTACAAACTCACGTAGTTCTGTTGCTGCAACGAAATGTCATCTTTTTCATTTACGATTCCTCGTATTTTACACATAAGTAAGTATATGCATTTTTGGCGAAGATAATAATGCATAATATGTCGTTCCGATTTTGATTATGGTGCATTTTCATCTAATGTACTCCAAACCGAATTGCGATCACTGGGGCCAGTCTCAACCTGGATTAGCCATCTGTGCAGGACAGGATTATTACGCCCGCGTGTATGAGCAAACACTGATGCATTCCCCATTATATAGGTGCATTCTCCATTAGGTAGAGACATGGTGTAGCTACATTATAGTTGTAGCACAAATGGGTCCACTCGATCGGGTAAGGACAACGCTCTCCCAGAATACCAGCGTAAAATATGAACTCAATGCTGCTGTGTTTCATATGGTGATTGTAGATAACCGTAGACCCTTTTTACTAGAAACGATTCCATTTTATTACTCAAGGGTGACAACGCATTTGTATTTTGATTCTCAATTGAGGATAAAGGTAGATCGTCTATGGACCACAGCATCCACTTACCATCAGGTGGACTGTGTACTCATTTGTCACTGTTATTCTGTAAAAAAAAGTCCGAAGAATGATTTTGCCCCGACCCAGAATTCGAATCCGAGATCTCGTGATCACCAATAGCTATTACGAGCCTAGACCAACGAGGTAGTCATCTGCACAGATGGTTTTCATCTACACTGATGGTAGCATAATAGATGTTACTACGTTCTGCATAAGCATTTCGCAAACACATATTAGCACTGTCCTTTTACAATTATTTAGCAATGTCGCAAAATAACACTACTTTTCGTGGTTCATGTAGATTCTTCTTCGGTGTTTAAAGAAACAATAAGTTATTCCATAATATCCATCAATTTCATGCATGTTTTGGCGATGGTCGTCACTTTGACTAGTACGGGCCTCCTTACTGGTACGAAGCTGTCACTCGAGAATATTTTTCCCCATCAATTGTTGGAATTGCAAGCTTTATATTACAATATTGAAATGAATGAAAATTACTATTGATTTAACAGTAGTAACGAATTGCGGCATGTTGTACTGAAAAGTACTTTAAAAAATTATTCTTAATTTACTTAATTTGGCTGGTTTAAAACTAAAGGCGCCTTCGCAAAGCGATTCGCGAGGTAGACCATTAAAACAAAAGCCTTAAGAAAAGCTTTTCCTAGAAACGGATAAGACGAATAATGAAATAATGAGATGAACTTAAACGAGCTGTAAAATTTATGTTTCGTGCAGCTTAAACAGAGCTCTTCTCCGTAGATTTCTAGTTACAGTATTGAGGTAACGTTTCGCTTTCAGTTTGGCTGCCTTTTTTATACAACAACTCGAATTTAGACTGCGGCCACTTTACATTTCAAACTTTAGCATTAATCTAAATATATTTTATTTTATTAGATATTGCTTAAGAGATTTTGTGTACTATGTGTACACAAAATCTCTTAAGCAATATTATTTTAAAAGGTATCTGATTAAATTTGCTTACTGCATACTCGTAATGAGATATGGAAATCATTTATCATGAAAAAGTAAAAATGTAATTGTCCCATAGATAAAAAATTATCCCTAGATAAAAAAAATCCCTGATTGGTTTTGTCCAAAAAATGAGTGTTAGACTTGTTAGGCTGAAAAGAAAAATATAAAACGAGAAACATTAATAAAATGTCAAAGCAGAAACATTTCACTGTACTTAACTTGCTTTTGTTTAACAGCAATAAAATTTAGAAGCGAATCTAATAAAATCCACTGACGTATCTAGTAAGAGCAGTACTCACTGAGCCGAGTGAAGGAGGAACAAAAGAAAGAACAAGTCTAACTAGACGGGCTTATATAATCTAGACAACCAGTAGGAGGCTGATTAACGTCAGCCGGGGTGTGGAGTAACTAGTGGGGAGGGGCAACAAACAACTGGATTTATTGTTAATGACCCTTAGCAAGACGTTAAATGCGATGAATTCCTAACACAAACAACATCTCAGTGGGCTGTTAATATACGTGGTACAGCGCTGTGATTAATATGAACACAACTTTGGTAAATGTTTAAACTGTCAAAATAAGGTAAGTTGTAATGTTTTTAGGCCAATATTTTTTTAAATTATAGCATACCCACCTACAGATTTAAATTTAAAAATATTTTTTCAGTAGCCTTAAAAACTTGTTAATATTAAATTCTTTCATATTGTCATTCTGTGATCTATTCTAGCCGATTTGTTTTTATAAGTATTTGATCATCATCAAACTGTCTTCTTAGAAGACATTCTAGAATGTTAACGATATAAAAATTGCTAGACATAAGCATTTTCAACTGCTTGCAAGTGAGGTTGGCACTTGCGGAAACAAATTCCATATGAAACAAATTCCATATGAAATAAATCCTCTTGTACGGCCCACCTTTTTGGTATTTATTTTTATATTTATCATGACGGTTAAGGGACTGGGTGGATTTAATTAAAATTTAGGTGCGATATATGTGGTATCAAGGAATAGGAAAAACTATGCATATTTGTCTGCTGCCCAGTGCTGGGTAAAAACCATGCAGTATGGATTGTTTTAATAAGCGTGACAAACGAGCACACAGTCCAACTAATGGTAAGTGAATGTTATGGCCTATAGACAAATAATGGAAACTACCTTTCTTACTGTAGAAAATCCTAAACAAACGAAGCTGCAACAAAAATTAGGAACTGTTAGCTGGATTAAACAAATTATTAGTAATATTGTAAGCTTTCAACTCTTAGTATGCTGAAAAAATTGAGCAGTCGCGTAGCATTATCTGATTGTGGATGTTGATTCGTTCCACTTTTTCTTTCAATCCAGTTCATCGAAGATTAGAAAGCACGTACCGAAGAGCTCTTGAACAATTTTCCGTTTACGTAGCGGTAATTGTCTTAGAACAGGTAAGAACTATCTCCCAGTCGGTCGGCAAAGCGCACTGCACTGCGGTACTGGACGCCGCAGCAACGGCTTTCCCCGCCGAAATCTTCCGATACGATACGTGCACTGAATTTTATATTTGTACTGATTTTATTTTACCTCCCTCATTCTTGATTCAACTATCTAATAGTTACCTCCAGACGTCCAACGATTGCTTACACACAATACTGCCTAGCGTTATTCTTTAAAAGTAAAGCTTTCGACTCTTCGACATTCATTTTATCTTTAGGCATTTATTTAAAAATATACAATGATACCTATTACTTATCGAAATATTTCACTGTTATTAACTTAGGGGAACAATTTTAATCACACAGTTTTAATTAGTTTCACTATTGTAATATAAATAGTTCTAATCTAATTAATAACCCTTTATTATTAATATTCGTGGTCAGTTTTGATACAACATTTATGAAACAGTGATGTCAATTATGCAAAAATCAATCCTGTACAGTGAGATCGACCCTAGTAAATAATTCAACGCTGATTGTAACGAGGGTCCGATTCCACACTAAATGCTTGCTTTCGGCCTCACTTTGTTCACCTAATCTTTTATAGGAATCTCGCCTTACACTGCATTTCTACTTCGAATCTACTTCGAGTCCTTTATGTTTTCAGACATTCATTTACCTCCATTAGGTCAAGAAATAAAATTACTGGGCATAATAAATTACGAATTTATTAACACCGTTTTTTTTTTTAAATTGAGTTTTATTACGTATTTTGTTAAGAACTTTTATATTAACTTATTGTATAATGTCCTTTAAATTAATAATTACACTATATTTTCATATTATTCAATGTCAATAGTTGATAAAAATTGTTTTCATATTTGTCCTGCCTGCTAGTCAATTTAAGATAAATATATCAATCTAGTAAAAAAATTACAACGGCTGGGTTTCCTTTTCGCCACAGGCAGGTTTTTACTGTCACTAATTATGTTTTAATGTGTAAAAATAAAATTATTAAACACAATCTGTATATCTTTTGTATCAGTTATATCTTGTTTAATAATCAGTGCTACTCTTAAATGCATGAAGTAATTGCAACATTCACTAAAACTTTTACGATAGAGTTACAATTCACAAGCATTACAACACACCATTTAAAATGCAGTTAAATTTTAAGGTACATGCAAATAAGTTACGAGAAGGTTGGAATAAAATTAAATAAACACATCTTGCTTCCGGCATTCAGCCTAGGTACTCGCGCTGCCCGTTGTACGATTTAATTGTTTTAAGTAATCCGCCTTAGAGCTTATTATACACTCGTACGTAATTTATTTATAAAATTTAAACACAAAATAAGATTTATTTGTCTCTATAAAATATTACAATTCCTTATACGATTAATAAACAAATAGCGGCAAATAATGCCTAATACATTTTTGATATTTTTGACTATGACCAATCTATAGTATTTTTATTATATTATTATATTATAATCTTATATTACTAACTTCAATAAATATATTTTTATAAAAAGATGTATGCTACTGCGTGAGTTTAAAAATTTACAATACACAGCTTATTAAAGTACAAATATTCTTTAAATTTAATGGTTCTCCGCAAAGATTTTTCAATGAAAAGTTTTCCACTTCAAACTTTGCCACTTCGCCGAAGCCAAGTCGCGTTTAACAAAGCTTTTTCATACTTACATTTTTATATCAGGAATGGAACGTCACGCTCGGTTTCATCGCCGCTCGTCCGCCCGACCGCGAAAAGAACGCGCATAGACCGGTAATAGGTGGCGCTTCAGTCGATATTCCAGTCACGTTCAGAATTCCTTATATTTCATCTTTTTCCACGGCACCGAAAAAATGTCATCGAATTCACATTTTCGTGTAATCCTTATAAGACTGAAGCCTTGGAAGCGTCTGGGAAGATATAAACTACTCTTGACGCGTCGTCTCCCACCCCGAGACAACTCGGTATGCAGAATATCGTGATCTAAATTATGATTATGGTAATGTTTTATACGCGAGCGCATAACATAGAAAAAACTATCTGGAGTACTAACGAAATAATTTCTATTTAAATACTTGAAAATTTTACTTATTTGTAACGATCGTTTCGAATATATTTCTCTAATTGATACTGAATTGATCACTAGTAACGGACGACAGACAGAGGCTCGTGTTACGTTTTAGGACTAAATCCACCTCCTTATCGAGAACAAGTTGAAACATGCACCTAGCGTCTAGCACAGCGTAAAAAGTTTCTGACAACAGTCCAACTAGTTAGGAAGCTTGGAAACTCCATCAGATACGTGAGCGCGAAGCGATTACACGGAGCTTCTGGACATTTTAAGTGCTTCTTGACATGGATATCTTGAATTTACATTGAGTCAAATATTTCGTTGCGAGTAAAAAAAGATCCACGCCAAAATTTTATGAACTTGAAACTAGTAACATTTTTATATATTTCGAGTAAAAGGAATGATGCCTTACTTCATTAAGTAAAATCCTGGTAGTTTCCACATTGTAAAGAGCCTTATCTTAGGGTTAGCATCAGCATTGCTTAAACATATTTCATTATCGTAGTTCACACTGCACATCAGGTCATAAAATTTGCCGAGTTTGAGATGGTGTAATCTACACTCGGATATTGATCATCGCAGTAACAGATTTCTCGTACTTTAGACGTTGTCATCAACGTTGCTATACAACCATCTGATAAGCTAAACAGGTCACCCTATAGTTGTACATGGATACATGGAGCTGACTCCAAATAAAAGATAAATATGAGTTTGCTGTTTCCCCAGAGGATTTAGATGAAAATTCACAGAGCTTGTATTTGTGGGTTGGTTTACTGGGTACATAAGGTTTAGAAGAGATAAGATTCCGGTACCCAAGCGTATCCTCATTTAGTAAAGAAACTCTACACCCTAGTAACCTAAATTTTTTGAGAGTGGGATCTTTGTATATTCTCTCGGGGCACCATTATACAGTCTTTTTATGATTCAACTGTCAGTATCACATCAGTGACTGAAGGCCTTTTATTAACAAAATGATATTATAAGCAAAGCGTTTCGCCTATTAACGTGAGTCCACGCGCGGTTCCCGAGCGGCAATATTTCAAAACATAGCATATCGTGCGGGCACTAACTAGCGAACACAGCTGGAGTTGCGGTGCAATGACAATGTTTGGACGCCGCCGCATCCTTGGGACGTCCGCGCCGCGCGCAGCATCCGCAATGAGACCGGCCGGACGTCCCTCGACCGCTGCACTAATTTATAGCAACGACCAATTACCTACAAGAATCCGACCCGGCACCTAGTGACAAAATACTACTACTTGCTTAACTTGAAAAATATCTTATGAATTTTTATAATTACTAACTTAAACTTCAAAACACTGCTATACATAATTAAAAGAGTTTCGCGACTCATTTCGTGAGTCTTTATAGGTAATTAATATGCGAAAAGTGTAATAAATTGAATACAAGGAAAAGTTATATTATTTATGAAACTTTCCGTTATACTTTATATTCATCAAGCGCATTTAATTATTATGTTAACGAAACCTGCTTTTGAATAAAATATTAGACGCGTCAAAGGAAATCAAGCCTTCATTATTTCTTGTCGCACCCACTCGGTTTCAAAGAATTAGATACTTTCAATATATGTAAAGGTATAGCTTAGAGTACTAAAGTAACTATGATAAGGAATAAAAAAAATACATTCACTCACTTTGGTAGAAGTAGTAAAAACAAACGAATTCATTGTTTTTATTACGCAAGGGTCCCTTACTGGAAGGTGTTTTCGTTCCTAAATTATGCACAAATCAATTCTTTTACCCGGGTACACCTTCGCGTTGTGTAGAGGTAAATAAATAATACATTTGTAATTGCTGCAAGTCTGAATATTTTTTATAGGATACGGTGACAAACGAGTACACAGTCCATCAGATTTTTCTTATAGGAGAGTGGGCAAACGAGCATGCGGCTCACCTAATGATAAGTAACTACCGTCGCCCATGAACAACTGCAACACTAGGGGAATTGCAGTTACTTTACCGGCCTTTTAAAAAGGAGTAGGCTCTTATCTTGAAGGCTCCTAAGGCGTATCGGTCAGGCAAAGTCGCTGGTGGTAATAGATTCCACAAGGAAGTTGTGCGAGGAAGAAAATATCTTCTAAATCGCACAGTGGTGGACCACCAATCATCTAGATGGTATGGACGGTATCGCCAATTTTGTCGCGATGTGCAACGGTGAAATTGAGCGGCTTGAATTAGTCCGAACAATTCCTCAGAGTCCCCCCATAGTAGATGCGATAAAATACGCAAAGATATGCAACATCTCTTTGCAACGCCAGTGAATCGAGTCGATCAGAATGGATTCGGTCGTCAACGATTCCAGCCGCTTTGCGCTGGATGCAGCCAATTGGAAGGCTTTGCGGCTGGAACTGTGGGGGGGGGGCAGCTCAGAGGTAAGAACAGTATTCCATGTGAGGCCGAACCTGCGCCTTGTAAAGTTGCAGGCTGTGTGCCGGCTTGAAATACTGTCCCGCTCTGCTGAGCACGCCAAGCTTTGTAGAGGCCAATATAGCCTTATCTAAGTGAGCCGACACTGCACGTCTCTCGATATATCGACACCGAGGATTCCGATATTGGCTGAGGCAACAAGGGGAGTGCCTTGAAACTGAGGAGATAAGATAAAAGGCTTCTTTTTAGCGGTAAACGCGCAAACTTGTGTCTTCTGAGGATTAAACTGGACTAGATATAGTCGCCCCCAATCCAAGACTTTGTTCAGCAAAGACTCGATTTCAGACACCGGCCGGTGTATAGAGTATCACCAATGCTGTCATCCGCATAGCAGTGAATATTACCGGTTTGCAACATATCATTGATATGCAGAAGAAACAGCGTTGGCTAGCAGCATTGTGGAACACCAACGATAATAGGCTTGTAATCAGAGCATGCGCCGTCTATTACAACCTTGATGTTCCGATCAGTCAGAAAACTGGTGATCCTGATGATTTTGTACGTGGTAGAGTCATGCTGCAGCTATAGTAGTAGTATAGTTGGAGCACGAATGGGTCCGCTCGACCGGGGAAGGACCACGCTCTCACAGAAAACCAGCGTAAAATAGCAGCTTGACGCTGTTGTGTTTCGTATGGTGAGTGTAGAGAACCGGAGACCCTTTTTACTGGCAAAGACGCATTCCATCTTAGTCCTCACGGGTGACAACGCATCTGCATCTTGAGTCTTTATTGAGGATAGATGTAGATGTCTATGGGTCACAGTAACCACTTACCATCAGGTGGACTGTGTACTCGTTTGTCACCCTATCCTATAAAAAAAATCCAATTTCACAATTTCTCAGGAAGCAAATAAGAAAAAAGCTTCGAAAGTAGCGCTTTGTGCCAGACCCGATCGAAGGCCTTCACTATGTTCAAACTAACGACTAATGTCCCCTCCTTGGACTAGATCGCCTGCGCCCATCTATGTGTTAGGTAAACAAGAAGATCACCAGCTGAGCGACCACGACGGAAAACGTATTGGTGGTCACTAATCAGCTGATGCTCCTCAAGGTACCGCATGAGCTGGCAGTTAATAATGAATTCCATTATTTTCGAGAACAAGGTAGATAATGTAGGCCTATAGTTGAACGGATCAGAGCGGTTACCTTAGGGATCGGGTGCAAGAAAGCAGTCTTCCTTGAATTCGGGACAACGCCTAGGGAGTAGGAGTACCGGAAAAGACACAATTGAATCGGTGCCAACTCTGGAGCGCACGTCCTCAGCACAATTGGCGGGATTACGTCAGGCCCACTCTAATTGTGTATATCCAGGCATTCACACTGCGATATGGTCGGCGGTGTGTTTCCCCCGTCATCGAGAGTCGAGTTGTACGCAAAAAGGGAGCTTAAAAGGTTGGCTTTCTCTTTTACGGCGTGGGCCAGTGTGTCGCCATCCCTGCCCCCTTTGCCCCCCGCCAATTCTGCCAATGTGCTTATATTTTGCCTTGGCAATAATACTTTTGAAGGACCTGGAGGTGAAGTTTTACTTCTTTTTAAGCATGCTGGTGCTTACATCCCGAGCCACCGAAGCCTCAGCCTAGGCCTGATAACACTCCTGTTTACTGCGTAATGCAGTCTTACAGGAGCGACCAAACCAAGGCTAAGATCTGCCTTCAATGCGTACCACAGATGATGAAATAAATACTTCCATTCCTTGTAGCACCACATCAGTGATAGAGTCAGCAACAGCGCTCTGGGATCATCCGGCAAAACGCAAACCTGCCCACATGGGTAGGATGCAAAGAAAGACTGCATTCCATCCCAATCCGCTAACGTGTAATGCCAAACACGGCGGCAGCCTCCAGAACGCAACCGCGAGTGGAGCGTGAGTGGCACCACACTCCGAATCAGACATTGGTCCGAAGAGCCGAGAGGGGCATCGACGGAAACCTGATATCCGTCCGGATGAGAGGTCAGCGGAAGGTCCAATAGGGAAGGTGTATGATCTTCCACATCTGAAATCCGCGTAGGTGAAGAACCAGTTGTGTCAGGCCATATGCCAAGTCATAAACAGATCTCCCCGCATGATCGGTTAAACGTGAACCGAACCGGCGTGGTGGGCGTTAAATCGCCAAGTACCACTATCTCTACGGATGGGATCTGTTGTAGCAAGAAATTTGTAGCCATTTGGACGTGGTGGACGAGTCGGTCCGTGTCGGCATTACCGCTATAGGAACTATACAGGCACCCGTAGAAGCGGGAATGGTCGTCGCCGTCTACGCGCATGCAAACGATGGGCAGTTCCGTCCTTCAAAACTGCCGAGGCGTCGAGAATTGATATCCTCTCTGACGTATACGCAAACTCCAGCCCGGGGCACAAAGAAGTGTTCTATGTTGTACCCCGGGTAGAACAGGTACGAAGTATCAGCTGGAGTGGACACCTGCGTCTCGGTCAAAAAGAGCAAGGCCGGCTTCGCCGTCTCTAGATGGTATTGGACGGCGATAACATTCGAGTGAAATCCCCTGATGTTGCAGAAGTCCACGGATAGCGTGGTAGTGGTCGTCATGGTATTATCGCTCTGTTTGCCCCGTACAGTGTTAGTAAAGAGCGGGGCAGCCTGAGCACCCACGCTCAGGAAGAATAGGGTAGCTTTACTGTGGATGATCAGTGACGGATGGAATTCCGCTATCATGTTTAGGGGGGGGGGCTGGTTTGGGCCTCCGGCCACCTGCACCAAGCAAGCGAGACGCAGAAGCAAAGCTTCTACTTTACGTTGGTATTCTGTGAGGTCGTGGTACTGCCCCACGGTTCGAGCCGGCCCATCCATGCTACAGCAGAAGCTGCAGCGTGGCTCTACCACTGTTAAAAGGTGATAGTAAGTGGTTGCTTTGAACTATGACATCTCCATCTATCCTCAATAAAGAATTAAAATGCAGATGCGTTGTCACCCGTGAGGACTAAGATGGAATGCCTCTTTTCCAGTAAAAAGGTTCTCCGGTTCTCTACAGTAACCATTCGAAACAAAGCATTATTAAGCTGCTATTTTACGCTGGTATTCTGTGAGAGCGTGGTCCTTCCCCGGTCGAGCCGACCCATTCGCGCTACAACTATATTATTAATATAGCTGATGCATGACTCTACCACGTATATAAAGAAAAATTAAAATTTTTAATTTTAGTACTTTAGAAGAGAAGAAAATCAATACAGTTGCACAACTCGAATGCGAAGCAGCACTTTATTGTAGACGTGTCAAGGTTACGCTCATGTTAAATCGGGTGTTGTGTATGTGTGCATTATTTTTACACTGCACAAATGTGTGAAGAAAAGTACATTATATAGTGAGAGAAAAGTACATTATATAGAATAGTGAGAGGAAACACTATTCCTGAAGCTTTTGACGAAGAAAAGTGTTTATGTCTATGAAATTTAAGTGTATGTTATCTAAATATTTCAAGAACGACTTGACGAAATGATTTTTTTTTTCACTATCTTTAGGAGCATGTAGAGTTGATTCCTTGAGAAAATCCCTGCTGTACTCTGTACTGTAAAATATATTCATAAATAAATTACTGCTTAAATTGGCAGATTATGTATAAACAAATACTGATTACAAATACACAAATAGTAAGCGTCGTTAGTTGACCAAAGAGTATTTTTAACTTTTTAATAATTAATGATTTCTTATATTTACGCGAAAACTGCACCTTGAATAAGACTACTTTTACGGATTTTATCGCGTTTAATTACACTTATTTTCAAATTCCCGACGTTTTCCGGTAAGTTCCGGGGAGTCTGCCGTTTGTGATCAGGGTATGAGATGGCCCCTGCCATTACATTAGATTTGATGAACGACAAATTCGCGCGAAAGAACATCGATTCCTGCCAAGGATGATACGCGAGGCTATTGAAATTGAAAAACATCCTAATTTCAAATGAGAAGGAGGCTGGGTACCACCACCCGCTTGGGATCCTGTAATTAACAAAATTAAAACTAAGCCCAAGCATACTACTGCCAAACTTCAAGACACAGTAAGTTCATTCTGCGTAGATTGGACCAAAACTAATAATCAAAAGGCTGAAGGTACTCCGGGTTAACTCTGACATCAGGAAAGCACCCGAAACGTCGGGAATTTAAAAATAAGTATAATTAACCGCGATAAAATCCGTAAAAGTAGTTTTATTCAATTTTTAATACTTACCTAATATATGTATATAAAAATTAACTTTGTTAACTTATTGCTTGCACAAAGTTATAGGGTTATAGGGATAGTATAATTAACTTACAGTAGGTGGCATGCATATAGTACCGACAAATTTATTTGTAAATTATAATATATCATTCGATTTCAATGAATGTATTATCATTCCTAATTAAACAATCCACCTTAATCAAAACGATATCCAATCCAAATTTAAAACGATATTTCCACTACTACTTCTTCTGCAGAAACAATGCGCTGGGTATCTGCTACTGTTTCTTATAAAACTCTTTATTCATTCTTACATTGAGTCACTATTATGTAAGTGTGGAAAATTCGATTATATTGTTACTAACTGTTCCGTCAGTTGATCTGTGGGTATGTGTTTTAACATGATTACAAATAACTGAAACAATTAATCAACTACCTAAGCTATCTTACCAAAAGTTTTGATGATCCCTATTGAAATTAATTTTGACTGATAGAGAATGCCATAGGGCATTAAGTCCGTCCTTTGTAACCCCTAGTTGAAGGTGTGTTACAATAAAGAATAAATAAATAAATAAATAAATGATGTATTTTTTGTTTACATGATGTTAATTTTTTTGAGAATAATTTTCTGTAAATCTACCATTAATTTAATATTAATAATAATGCAAGTAGTGATAATATACCTTCTACTGTAAGAATATCCACTAGCCCATACCTACCCGCGGGTGTCTTAAGAGGTGATACAGGGAACCTGAAACAGGAGATGGGCAGCAGCATCTTCCTGATAACACTTCAAAATATTTAAAACCTGCAGTTGACAACCTGTCTGCCAAGCGTGGCAACTGTAGCATAATTTCATTCTATGAAGTAACCTACGGCAGAGGTCTTTGTTCAGCGGTGGACTTTTATAGGTTATAATGAAGTACTGGTAACATACATTTTAGTTGACCCCTCACGTTAAAAAAAATTAGGTTAAGTGTGAGCTTATGATTTTTCTGTCTTCATTACCATGTAGTGACGGCGTAAAAAGGATATCATACTCATATCATCCCTCGGATATCGTAAAAGCCAACTGAGAAAACTGAAACAGAAGTTGGGCACCAGCATAAGAAAGCAATAATAACAAATAGTAAAATAGCAACTTTGGAAAATATCCTTTCCTTCAGGCCTTTGGCCGTAGAAATAAAAGGGAAGATCGCCTGCCGGGTATGATGGTCAGTCCGGGGAACGGCCAACTCTTCTTGTGGTAGTACGAAGCTATTCTATATATTGCGTGGTTTCCCAATCGCGGTACGATGCCAGCTACGGCAACGGTATGGCTGTCTGGGAAGCAAAAATTATAAAATGTATGAAATGTATGGCATGTTTTTCCACTTACCGGCGCCGGCGCCGGCACGGCGATGTCTCCCACTGGTGCCGTCGCCGGTGCCGTGACAGCAAGCTTCCCACTCAGTGCCGGCCGGTAGAACTGCATGTGTATTGTGTACGTATTGTAGCCGTGCGCGTGTGTGCGTGTGCGCGAGCCGAAGTAGAAGAGTCGCGTTGATATTGAGACTCGAAATTGACTTGTGAAATGATGAAATGTCTCCTCGTTCATGCGAAAGTAGTTGATATATTTTTAGAGTCCATTTCCAACTTTTAAAATAGGGTATAATATGTTCCTTCTAAGTATTTTATTTTTAAGATTGAGTGAATTCAAAATTTGACTTCTCTGCGTTATATAACAAACGTTTACTGCGTTTATAACAAACAAATACGACGACATGATAAGATTATTTTTATACTGCCCAAAAACCGAGTGCAGACGAGTGGGCACCAGCACCGGCGCAGTGGTAACATGAAGCTTTGACGCCGCACCGTCACTTTGCCGGGTCGGGGAAAAAGGTTCTTTATTATTTTATATATAAATTCCAGACATTTTTTTTAAGTTCAATTACGTTTAATTATAATATACACAAGTGGTTTTGAGAGTCCTCTCTTGATGTTAACCTAATACTACCCAAAGAATTCTGAAGAGATCGGAGCAGGTGAAAATCTGAGGGTGCAAGATCAAGTCTATATGGTGGATGCATTAACACTTCCCAACCAAGCTCTCTAAATTTTTGCTAAGTAGCCAAATAAAAGACCACTCCTTTTCTGTAAATCAATTCCGGCCGTTTCTTCTCAATTGCTTGCTTGAGTCTCATTAGTTGTTAGCAGTAGAGATCAGAATTGATGGTTTTGCCCGTCGGTAAAAGCTCATAATAAACGATGACCTTCCAATCCCCATACGCACAGCATCACCTTATTGCGTGTTAACCTGGGTTTCGCTACAGTCTATGGAGCTTGACTACCCTTTAACCAAGATCTTTTTTGCACGTTCTTGTCGTATCCACTTGTCATCATCAGTGATCCATCTTTTCATAAATGGTTCGGTTTCATTACGTTTCAATAGACAATCGCAAACAAGTACACGATTCATTAGGTTTCTTACAATGAGCTCGTGTGGTACCTAAATATCGAGCTTTTTGTATAGTCAGACTTTATCAAATGGGTCAAAACTGTTTTGTGGTCAATACTCAATTCCTTGGCTATGTCGTATTTACTAATATGCCGATCTTGCTCCACTTTTACGAAAATGGCATTGACTTTATCTGTATGAGGATATTTGTATTTGTATGATATTTTCTGCAGGTAATAGGTGCAATTAACTTACCTTGTCTTAATCTGACGCGCTCGAGTTTTTCTAACGATCGATTTTTTTTTACTAATCTGATCTACTACTCTAGACGCTCGACCATATATAAAGGGTTCATGTATGGTGGGAGTATTCAACAGAGTGCAAGGTTTCCACTCTTGTGAAATTCTGCTGCGCCTGAATAAATCCCAAATCCTCGCTTGGGATGCTTGGCTTGGCCATTATTTTTCTTACTTTAATCAAGTGTAATTTTATTTAAAAAAAAGGAAACAATATGACTGCATTATTACATACAACATTATATAAACTAATAACTAATAATAGTGATTATAATATTCTCTTTGACTATTACTCTCCGAGAGATTTAGTACCTTGCATACATATACATATAGTACGTTGGTACGTAAATGCAATCTTAAATCACACCTTCGCATTATTATCCACTGCGGTACAAAGGACTAGAGCATAGATTATGAAGTGATTTTTATAATTTATATTTTGGATGATGTCCCCTGCGACATTAAAGTGGTAATAATGGTGATTGTGAAATGAATGTCATGTTATATATAAGATTTAGCTCTGCAATATATTTCATGAAAATATGAGATGGAATATTTTTCGTTAAAAGTTTTTTAAAAATTGATTAGTCTGGATCGAAAAACAGATAGACAAAATTTTTAAAAGTTGGTATTGATATCTCAATAGCAGGTGAATAACCCCTGAATTTAAAAGAAACCAGATATATTAATTTTACAAACAGACACTTATATGTATATTATGTGTGCAACGTAGTTTAACTGCGTAGTTTACGTGTGTTATCATTTTTTAAATTAAACAGTAAACTAACTAAACCATAGAACACTGTGTTTTATTGTGTCTGTGGTAGAGCCATGTTGCAGCTATATGATGGTTGTAGCATGAATGAGTCTACTCGACCGGGGAAGGATCACGCCCTTACAGAATAAATAGAAGCTTAATGCTGCTGTGTACGTATGGTGAGTATAGAAAACCGGAGAGCCTTTTTACTGGAAACGAGGCATTACATCTTAATCCTCAAGGGTGACAACGCATCTGCATTTAGATTCTTAATTGAGGATAAATGTAGATGTCTATGGGCCACAGCGTACTGTTACCATCAGGTAGACTGTGTGCTCGTTTGTCACCCTTATTCTATAAGAAAAATCTCAATTGAAAACTAAACTCAACTTCTTTTAAACATAATACAACAGAGCGTATCCAGTCATCAACATCACCATCATGTAAGCCACTTTAGAAATCCACTGCCTTACAACCAATATCATCTATTAACTCTCTCACCTGGTCATGGTTCTATTAAGTAGAAGCTCGCCCATATCGAAATGAGTCGGTATAAGTAGTATTAAGGTAAAACGGAAGAAAAATTCCAATATTTGAGCTCTTTTAATCAATTATTTATTCAATAATCCCAAAGTTGCGTCGATTGTTTGACAAGATTATTTGTTAAAAAGTCTATGTGGGAGCGTCTCAATTAGTTTGTATTTTCCAGTGCTATATAACGTGAAGTGATGTCAGTATTGGTGCCAATATTGAAATCCAATCAGCGTTCTGTGATTGACAGTCGAAGCCGTCCAACCCTACCGGACACATATCCGGGATATTCTCTTGCGTTATCACACTGAAAATAAACGAACTTGAATGCGAGTCGACCCACCCAAAAAGTTGATTTAAATTTAGCCTTTATTTTCCATTGTAATAATTTGAGTATATTTTAGACAAACTGATAATAACGTTAAAAGAAAATTAAACCGATTTATGGATATGTACACATTGATACACCAGCACGATAAAATTAACATATCAAATATATCGTGCCAAATACATCCTATACTGTAAGTGAGTACTTCTTGTCTACTTTATAATATACTAATTAACTGACTTCTCGGACACGACTACAACGATTCGGATGATACTTTGTATTTAGATAATATTTAACTGTCGAAGTTTATCTATGTATGTGTCATCTATATCTGAAAAAAAATTTAACGCCGAGCATAGCTATATCGCCCAAATACTTTATATTCGTGGAAGAGTCACGCTGCAGATATACTATGGTTGTAGCAGGACCGACAAGGATCGGCTCGACCGGGTAGGACCACGGTCTCACAGAATACCAGCATAATGCTGTTCTGTTTCGTATAGTGATTGTAGAGAACCGTAGATCCTTTTTAGTGGATACGAGGCATTCCATCATAGTCCTCTGGGGTGATAACGCATCTGCATTTTGATACTTAATTGAGGATAAATGTAGATCTGTCTTTGGACCACAGCATCCACTTACCATCAGGTGGACTGTGTGCTCGATAGGTCACCCTTATTCTATAAGAAAAAATATATGTGACAACTGCATTATTTAGTAGTAAGGATACATTTTTGTTGTCGTGTATAGTGTTTGTTTTAATTTAATATCGAATGCTATTCTAAATGAAACATAATTTATAACGGAAACTTGGATAGTTTTGGCAGATTTAGTGGTTTTGTTTTTTGAAATAAATTTTGGTCATGAACTATTACTAGAAAACAATTTTTTTACGTGGTATAGCCATGCTGCAGCTATATTAGTAGTATATTTTGTGGCACGAATGAGTCGGCTCGACCAGGGATGGACCAAGCTCTCGCAGAAAACCAGCGTAAAATAGCAGCTTAACGCTGCTGTGTTTCGTATGGTGAGTGTAGAGAACCGGAGACTCTTTTTACTGGCAAAGAGGCATTCCATCTTAGTCCTCACGGGTGACCACGCATCTACATCTTGAGTCTTTATGGAGGATAGATGTAGATGTCTATGGGTCACAGTAACCACTTACCATCAGGTGGACTGTGTTATATAAATAAATATAAAACACTAACTGATATCCATAGCTGATTAATTGCACTTTGTAAGCCGACACAAAGCTAATATTTATGTAAGGCACGTAGTATCAAAATGTATTATACATTTTTATATCTTCCTTTATCTTAGCCAGTATATTTGTCACTGCAACGATAATAATCATGAAAGTAATATCAAAAATATGTTCTATAAATTATAAACTTACCACTACACTACCGAGGAACCTTTGTCGTAAAGAGGTTCCTCGGTAAGGTAGAAAGAAAATCTCTTAGATACCGACAGATGGCGATAAAATCATCTCGTTAACGCTAGAGATATTTTATAAATATACCGGCGGCGGGAAGCAGCCAAGCGTGGCGATTGAGGTAAATCTCGCTCTCAAAGTCTCCCTGACGTGAGCGGATCATGTCCAGCAGTGGTATTTCACAAGCTGATAAAACGTACCCGATGATTAAAGCAAATATAGATGTCTGGGATTGTAGAACAAACACACGTATAACGAAGTGTACAGAAAGAAAATAAGTAATAATTGCTTTGGTTTACCATATACGGCTGAATAATCAAAGGGTATATCTACGTTTAGCAGACGACTTTTGATAGGCTGTGATGATAGAATAAGTGACTTTGCGTTAAACAAATTACAAAATTGATTTTGGTGTTAAGACAGTGTTAGTTGGAAGAAATGAAACGCCCACTTAACTCGTTTAATGTATAGAGACATATAGTTTTAAAATAACATGAACAGTATAAATTTAGACTGTTCATGTCATTTTAAAACTATATGCCTCTATACATTGTTTTATAGTAAAACGTAGGCTCCGAACCTACCTCAGCGCTATCACACGAATGGAAATAAAATTTCTCAATATGCGAAGTTCTCTGTGCTCTCCTCTTGTATGCAGAGCTCGCATCGGATATAACTAAATAACACTACGCCGAGGAGTATAACGAACTATCAATTAAACTCGTGTTTGTGCTTCTGAAAATGAAATTATGACTTGCTTTTTAAAATTCATAACGCGTGCCAGTATGATGATACACAGCCCAAAATTTATGTTTTTTGTTGCAAGGCGTTTTTAAACAATACCTTTTTTACTATTTAGTATTGTAGGTACTTCGTTTATTGGTATGACTTGCATAATAGCTTTAAATAAACATAACTTTTATTGTTTATTATTAAAAAAATATAAGGTTAAGTAAAGTTACATTCTATATACTTTCACTGCTGGGATTATATTTCCAAGAGGATTGTAAATTATAAATTAATTATTCCTTCGTGCTGGTGTTATACAATAATTAATAAATATAATTAAAAATGTTTAACACAATGGAACAAGAAGAAAGCATTCTTTAAAACCTACATAATATTAACAAACATTTTACCTTACAACCAACCCTTTTTCCAATAAAGTTGATCGAACGTTAGAGTTTCACAGCGAAGCTGGAATTTCTTGGGCAGTTCAAACAAGTTGAGGGCAGCCGTGTCCACGACGGCAATATCGGCAAGTTCGCCGGCCGCAGCTGGCATGCCGCCGCCAATGTCTCAATAATCCTCAAGGTACCCTCCTAATCGACTCTTCCTATAGTTTGGCGCAAGTGTGACTAACTGATTAATTCTGCAACTCGGCGTACGTGTCTGCTTTGTCTCTATCTATTATTATTTGCCCAATATTTTCGGCCGCCTCGGACCATTATTGGACGATAGTTGGAGTTTTATCGGTGTTATCATACCCAGCCTATTGCTGTTTATATTACCAAAGAACGGCTATTACTAACTATAGCGTCTATTTAGAAATTGTAATTGCTGCTATCTTTTAGATTAGATTCGGTTACATTCGTTCGGATTGAACCCTTTGGCTGCTCGTGATATTTCGTATCAACTCATGTTGCTGTCATTTGCTACAAACAATTTTATTACTATTTTAGGTAAAGATACAAAAAATACACCTAATTAAAGAAGACGCTATCATAGCAAAAGAAAAGCCTATTTATTGAATTTTGCCTAAAAGACACCGTAATAAAAGACATGTAATCGGATGGAACGATAGATGCAGGCTAATTATTCCACTCCTTTGCTGTATGCATTACGAAAGATGAAATAAAGTAAAGTTAAGTACATGGTTTACAATATATTACAATATTTCTATTATGAAAAATAAAAAATAAACATTGTTTATACAGCTCATCGATAATTGAATGGAAGTTAGAATTATTAGAAGTCCGCGTAAATAGTGCACTTGGTACTGTGCCAAATCAATAGCAATCAGTAGATCAAAATTACACAAACATTCATTTGCGTCGCCTTTTATTAATTGAATGCAAACATAGGCTAATTTATATAACAGAATGTGTTATTATTTGTCATCAAATCACAACGATGCCGGAGTAACGTAATAGCATTAGCTCGATATTCTCTCAATTAATAAACGGACCGTGTTAATATTTCATGCGCTAACACCGTGCAATTCATACGTTAAGTTTTGACTGCATATATTTTCAATTATTTTATAAAGCTCGTATACTAGGTTAACAATGATCGTCAACATTCAGCACACGTAGTTCTCAAGCCTAATAAAGACAATTAGTTCTCATCCAGTTACAATAGCACGTTCGGGAAACCTTTGTGGAACATAAACTAGCAAAAGGCCATGAAAATTTGTTTATTAGGTATGCAGGTTCTTTCAGTTACTCTTTTGGTGTAAAAAAGTTAAGTTAGTTTTTTATTCGTTAGGTAAACAAATAAATTATTAGTAGACAAAGAAATTGGAAACCTTTATTCAGTGATCTTCTCTATATAGTATAGAACAAAGTCGCTATCCGCCATCTGTACGTTTAGATCTTTTAAATTACAAAACGGATTTGGTTTCCAATTAGATTTTCTGGATGCGGTTGTCATCAATAAACAGAATGTTTCAAGAGAAAGATTTAGATGTATAATACATGCATAATATATATTATATAATTCTTCTGTCCGTGTGTATGTGACTCCTAAACGGCTGGACTGATTTGGATGAAATTTTTTGTGTGATTTAGTTGATTAAAGATTGGTTTAGATTCACAATTGGACCCGTTTGGTGGTGATTTGTCGAGATCCAGAAATGCACCGTGCGATGCCGGGCGGATCACTAGTTGTTGAATAAATAAATAAAAATTCTAAAATCCGAAGTGTGCGTCTATCTTTCCGTCCGAATGCAATCTGAGCGTCTTTAGGCAAGAGTACATAGGCTTTTGTTACGCTAAGACAGTGAGATTTACCATCTATGGCTGTATCACCACTTACTACCTGGTGAGATTGTAGTTAGGTACTGGCTTTTAATAAGTAAAAAATAGTGTAAATAGGCCGGTCGCTGCGGCGAGCTATAGCTCGGAGAACTGACAAGCAATGGGGGGAAAAGGTACTCGAGTGATAGCCTAGTTCTGGTAAGAGGAGTCTTAGGTCTCCTACTAAATGGAATAACTACTTGGTAAGACATGCAGGAAGTCGATGGATGCACGTGGCTCAGGACCGTGTTTTGTGGCATTCCTTGGGGGAGGTCTATGTTCAGCAGTGGACTTGTAAAG